TTAGAGGTCGACCTGGGGTGAGGCATATATTGCATCAGAGCCCAGCTGAGTGAATTCTTCTACGTATATACCATCAGAAGGAGGTCCAAATGACATTATGGTTCCAGCCGCGGGCCTAGTTGTGGGCGATAACGACGGCTGGTGGTGGCTTGGTCCATACAATTTGAATTGCACAACTTTTGGTCATCAACCACGTAGGACCCCCTGCGTGTCCCCCACAATGCTGACAACTCAGCTAATTTCAAGCCTTTCTTTCCTCACTATCCTTTGGACAACTTGTCTCGCTGCTGGAGACAACTTCCTGGTCGCTCCTGGTGGAGCACGAAGTTCGTCAAGCACCGGCGATAATGCCCAACGCGTACTTGAACATCATCCCGTACAGAATACGGATTGTAGACTAGCAGTATGTTGCCATTTTCGCATTCGTGGTATTTACAGCTCACAAAGCACCCACGCTCTAGCCAATAGGTCCAATCGAGACCACCCTGTGCAACTACGAAACAGTAGAAAGCGTCAATGATGACTTGTTTGATGTCCTGCACCAGCTTGTACAAACACCCTTCTTTCGATATTACAAGGTTTGTACATTGGTCACCATCTCCGTCGATTCCGGCTTGCTGATGCAATATATGCCTCACCCCAGGTCGACCTCTATAAAGATTGCCCTTTCTGGGACGATGTTGACAAATGTGCAAGTCGCGACTGCGTGATTCAAGCTGTGGATGAGGTAAAGCGTGTTTACGTGGACCAGTCGGAAGAATCGACTGACCCTTCGACAGAGTAAAATACCTGAGAAGTGGCGGACCTCCACGTTGGGACAAGTCGAACAAGCTGCAGAGTCTATTGTAGGTTCTTCTTCAGTCATCCACGCTTGCTCACCTGACCCCGCCGTTTTCCCAGACAAAAGCCCTCCAAGATGACCAAGCTCACATCTTTCTTTACAAAAAAACCAGCTGGTTCAGGCTGAGTTAAGAGGTATATATATTTGAAAGAAAGTGGTGTAATGCATCGAGTAAAACCAGAATTCTCGGACGTTCAACCAGAAATATATAGGAATAGATAATGTAGCATGCCATATTCATGCCCCAAACCCCTTAAAACTACTCATCCTCTCATAGATCCTCCCTGGGTAAGCCATCTTTTCCTGAGAGGGCGAATAGGCTCGCAACTGTTCTGCCAAAGGCTTGTAGATAGGCCGCGACTGTTTTGATGCATTCGAGGGAACCATCTTTACATAATTGCGCAAAGTAGACACACTGATCATAGAGTGAGCCTGACG